GAGCAAAAGCAGGAGCAAAAGCAAGAGCTTGCTACTTTTTGTTACCAGTTTTATGTTGATTGCTTTTGCTTTTCAAATTGCCATGGTTAGCATGACTACCTGTATTACTATCATGAATTATTGTTGCCAATATTTCTACTATTTTTGTTACTATACAATTGCTGTTGTTATTCGAGCATGATTGTAATTACTATGATTGCGAGTGTTACTGTTATTCTTACTGTTACTCTGAGTCTAAGACTACCATTGTTAACATTGTTACCATTCGTTGTTGCCATTAAGCCCGAACCAGCCAAAGCCACCAAATGAAGCATTCCGGCGCTGCACAGCCGCTGTCACCTGGAGTTTCCCAAGAGCTTGCCGCACAATAACTCCGGTTTGCCTATAGCTTGCCGCTAAGCAAGACCTGCAGCAGTGGTGCATAGTTCTTCTTGGTCATGTTGCCTGATCCCGGCCGGTTACATCAGTTTTTTGATCCTTAGACCGCGGCCTGCGAGCTTGCAGCTTCGCCGACTCTTTGAGGCTCTGGCTTTCCGAGCCCAAGGAGCCCCGGGAGCCGCGTCAGTGCCCCAGGGCTTGGACGACGGGGTCCGGGCCCGGGTGCCACGTCTCCGCGGCGCGGCAGAGGTCTGACTTCTGATGGGACGGGAGAGATGCAACTGGAAGTTACTTGTACCCAGCTTCTCTTCACACAGCGCGCCGATTTCTAACTTCGTTCATGGTGTCAAATCAGCGATTAGCTCAGACTGGATCTTGCTTCTGTCGGGAGTGCTGCTTTCAGTGAGTGTATCGCACCTCAGATCCCGAAGTCTTTGTCGAGGCTTGCCTGATAGGAACCATTTCTCGAAGATTCACAGTGTAAAGGGTGCTTAGACAAAGCCCGGCACATGTCAGGCTTGGACTGTCTTTTCATTGCGATCCGCTCCGGCCCCGCGTAGGGCGATGAAGTGAGACTGGCATGCCAGGAGGCGATGACCAGGCATCCTGCACACCTCGGACACCTCGCCTCGTGAGCAGAGGTCAATGCATGGAACTTGAAATCCGCTCTGTGCAGGCCTTGGGCATCGTGCCACACATGCCGAAGTCGGTGCAAGGCTCGGGCTCTCCGTAAACACCAGCACCTGTGAGTAATGGGTACCTTTCGGAGAAACCTTGTGTTCCGTGCCATGCTTCGGTGTTTTGCATCCCATGAGGACTCGCATGTTTTGTGCGTTACCATCGTTGGTGAGTCTTGTGTTAGTTATTTCTGAGAGAGCACCGCAGTGGTCTTGAACCTTTCACCACTAAGCGTGTTGAACAATTGAACGTGCATGAGCTGCGAGAAGTGCAAGGGGCTTTCCTTTTGAAAGGTACTGCGGCAACCAGTGTTGGCACACTCCCGGAAGCAGAACTTCTGCCTCACTCTTGCTTGGTTTGTGGCCTCGCGCCACTCAGCACACCGAAGAGAACAGTGGCACACTACAACTTTTTTATGTGCTCCGCCCTCAGCACAGAATGACTTTCGGCTGCACTAAAAGGGAGGATTCGGACTGAGGTGTGGCGACGCTGGCTTTCGCTTTGTACAGCGAGTTGCCCAAGGCTGTTCCTCTTGCTCACACAGCATGGTTCGAATTCGAAAGTCATGTCTGGCAGGTTTGGGTGACGGTGATCTTGATGTCGCAGTCGGTGGAGCCCGTGTCTGCCATCGTTCGCGTGCCAATTGTCACCATCAACGGCTTGTGCCCTCCCCTAATGCTATGCATGATACCCACGGACCCAGACTCCACGGAGCCATGGCTCAGGTATCTGCTCTGGTGCCTTCTGTTGGTTTCGCGGCCTGCTTGCGATCCATTGAAGCAAGATGCAGAGCAGAAAAGTTTCCAGCCCAGGCACCACCTCCTGTCCTGGTGCGGCTGCAGACGGGTGACTGCCCCCACACAGCCGCCGAGCATGCTCAGCCTCCCCGCCAAATTGTTACGGCACCGGGTGCTGGTGTATGTTACCCTGAAATGCTCCGAGCTCTTTGTGAAGCTCGCCTTGTAAGGAGTGTCAGCCACTGTGTCGGCATCGGAGGATGCCGTGGTTCTGCAGTGGCAGCCTGGCTGCGTGACAGACTGCATCCATTCTGCCCGGGCTGTAGGCTGTAGCCAGAGTCGTTCAATGATTTGGGGTTCTATGGATCGACCGTCCCCCATCGACGCCTTCTTCAGCCTCCTCACCATCCATCCGAACAGCCTGAAGCCACGGTTTAGGGTTTCCCCGAACCATTGAAAGGCCGCCGTCTCTGTTAGCTGCTAAAAGACTAAGCATGTTTGAATGGAGCGGTCCACCCCCATTCGGGTTGGAAGGCGGGGCTGGAGACTTCGGAAACACGTGGCACTCCAAGGGATGCTAGAGCCAAAACCGAAACCTCGGGCTTCCATGTACATGGTCCGCGGTGCTCTGGTCGAGAAAGATGCTTCCACACGTGAGTACGTGCATGGTGTTGGCATCATGCACGTTTGGCACTGCGGCCTTTCAGCTTTTCGAAGCACGGCAAACACTGCGTTTCGAAGTTTTTCAAGAAATGCAAGTGGCTCGCATCAAGCACCTACGCCCAATTGTGCTCCTGCAGACCACCCGCGGAGGTAGACTTGAGCAACGGTTGCTGACGTTCGCCCGGCCAGCACAGCGCCCCACCCCCACCGCATGAGAAGATGGCCGCGAACATGACCTGCAGTACCTGCTCCCAGTGCTTGGAAAGGAAACGGGTGCCCGATGATGCTGCTGATGCGCGCCTAGGCGTTTCGAGCACACACTCGGTACCGGGCTTCCCCGGAGGTCGCCCAGCGTGTGATCTCAACTCGGAGCTCAATCGGAGACTCAAGAAGCAAAACGTTGAATGAAGGTTATCAATAGGCTGGATTTCCTTGCTGCTGGTTTACTAGAAAGAAAAGCTTGCAGCCAAGAGACGGCGATGAACATGATAGTATGCCTCCACAAGGAATGGCATACAAAACTGGATGAGATGATCCGTATGGGGTAAGGTTTCTGCCCGCTACATCAGACACCGGGAATGAGCTGAACGTGACAATGCGGATGAAGGTAATCCCAGCTGCCCACGACGCAGCCAAAACACAGACCACAGCAGGTCCGCTTCCACCCTCCGCTCGGGATGTCTTGAGACCCCAGGTCATCGATGCTCATATGTACCCTTCATGACTGGGGCCTTTTCAAAGTACAGGAAAATGCAAAAATATCACACACAGGGCCAAATGTTGAGGAGGCTAAGGAAAACTAAGAAAAGCTAAAGCTAAATAAGTCCATGGCTCCTGGTCCATGGAGCAACAGTAAGGTTAACTAACTCCTACCTGGCCCCAACTATCCTGAAGGCCCTCCTACGTGGCCCCAGCTGTCCCGAAGGCCATTGTGCAATCCTTGGAGTTCCAAGGATTTGGGGCGCCCAAACTCTACAAATCTCTCCCTGCCTTTCTCCTTTCCTTGCCGCCTTCTCCTACCGTGCATATAGGCAGGACCTGCGCCGCTCCGTACGAGCCTATGTCACACAACGCATCAAAGCTGTGATGCAGTTTCATGTGCCTAAGCCGTGTACTTTCCCCACGCCGCTCCCGAGCTTTTAATCATAAAGACCTTTATCCCCGTGATGTGCTTCGAGCCGCTGCCCATGAAGCCTCATGTTAGGACAAATTGCCGCCACCGGTGTTGGTGTCATTACTTCGTCTTCTTCTATTTGCAAAAAAGTATCGTCAACGGCTCCATGACAAACAGCTTTTTCCTGATAAGAATGAGCTTTCCCTGCAGCAGTTTGTTGAAGCCCGGACAAATTGGTGCAAAGTCAATGGCCTACCACAGGCCCACCGCGATGTTTGTTACAACATGGTCGCGCAGTACACGGTCGCCACCACAGCGACATGGTGGGCAGCATCAAGTACAAAGCCAGAGGCGCCATCTAGCACTGCGAAGACCACCACCCCCGCACGGCAGTTTGCTCCTGCCCCGTTCTGTACCGCACCATGCTCAGCGGCAGGTTTTTCAAGAAGTTCCCACGAGCTTCGCTGATGAGACGGACAAAGTTCAAAAGGCCGCCAAGCCGCCCTGCAAAAGCGATACGACTGGGCCTTCAGGCGCACCCCACCCGTCCCACCTCCGCCCTTTCCAAACGAATGAAAGAGTTTGTGGCCGGCTGGCCCAGAGTATTTTCGCGGCGGCATTTATGCGACCGTTGCTTGAAGCCACCGCCCGGCTCCTTCACAGCTTTGCAAAATGGCATTTCCCGTGCCCTTTATAGCGGCGATGTTTACCAACTCCCCGGCGAAATGCTAGTTTCTTTTAGCACGGCTCCGCGGAACCTTTGCATCGCCGCAATCCGGGACACCAAGTGATTTTTCATCAGTATCGAATTCGCCAGTGTGTTCATGGTTGACCTTAAAGAACAACAACAGGCCATCCACGTCCTTCGAGGCAAGACGCGGTGTCCAGCAAGAAGACAAGTCCGGCTGTGGGCCGGGGACATTCCGGTGATTATCCAGCAGCACGACGTCACCCTGATCGTGGAGGGCATCCAACCACGTGGTAGTTAAACCCGACATCTAGGATTTATTTAACTTTGCTATTTTTCTAGCTTTTCCAGTTGTCTTTGATTGTTTTTAGATTATGGTTTTGTCTAGGCTTGATTGATGTTTTATCAGTTTGTGTTGGTTTTGTTCGTTTTTGGTAAGTTTGCCGTACTGTTGCTCTATTTTTCAAGCTTTGTTTCTTGTTGGTTTTCGCTGGCAGGTATTGTGCAAGTCGATGCAGACCACGCAGGGCAGTGTACCGGAAGTCATTGCTTCAGAGGCGCTTGCACGCCTTGCCCTTTGCCACAAAATAGGCTTCTTTGCCGTGAGCAGTCCACCGGAACCAGGGGAGTTCCAACTAAGGAATTGCGAGGGGTGCAGCAATTGCATGTCCGTCCTCGCAATGCTTTGTTCCCTCGCGAAAATGGAAGGCAACGAAGCGGGGGCAACTGGGATTGCCGATGGTGCGATGGGTGTCGAGGTAGTCGCTGTCTGAAATTGCAAACGAAAAGCCTACTCACCATGTTCAGGTGTGCATGCGCGCACACACACACAGACACACACACACACACACACTCACTCCCGCTCCCACCACCGCATCCCACCAATTTCTACCGGCAGCCGCAGCCTCCCACCACAACATCGGTTGGCACAAATCTTCGTGCCTTCCAGCTCCTGCGATAAGCCCTCCCACCACAGATATTCTCACCACATCCCACCTTCTCCCACCACGAACACTCCCACCACCGGGAGGCGTGAGGCGGAAGTAGGGCCGGAGGTTCTGGCTGCTGTGGCTGGAGAGTGGCAGGCCGATCTGCAGAGGCGTCTAAGTAAACATTGAATAACACCAACGCATCAGGGCGGTCTTCATGCTCTGTAAGAAACTGCATGGTTTTTGCGGAGGGCCGCAGGAGCATTTAGGTAATTTGCTGCAAAGCATTAACATTGATCCTTCGGAGCTGTTTCGCATATTGAATTGTGCTTAAAACAAATTCCCTCCTCGGCCTTCTCGCCCATTTGCGCCTCCAGGACATGCTAACAAGAAGAACTTTGGAACGCACTTGTGCAGCAGAGCCTCGTCACTTTCGGATGCTCCCATATTACGTGGCCTGGCGATGTCGCTAAGACAGCATCATCCACTCTTCCGACATCATTCCATCCCGACAGTCTTGCTGGGATGTAGCTCCAGACTCTGTCGTCAACTAAAGCCCTGAAAGCCAAGCCAGAAAGTCCTCGACCAGCGCTTGCAAAACGGAAACTACTTCTGCCGCTGTAAGGCTCACACAATGAGTGCGAACGGGTGTTTGTCATGGGTGTCGATGGCACTGCAAAGTTGATGAAGGTGTTCTGTACCTGCAGTGGCAGCTATTGGCAGCGCAAGCTTCCTGCCAAACTTCCGAGGCACAAACGCTGTAGCCCATTCCGTCCAAAGTGTTGGGTGTCAGCATGGGCCACTGCGGGAAGCTGAGTGTTTCCGGCGTGGCCGGCCTGGTCACGGTCTCTTCTATCCGAACAAGCCGGAACGGTGACTGTGTGACTTCAAGTTTGCAACTGCAACTGCACTTTCACATCAGGCTGTAAGGCGGGGGCACAGCAGGCAGCTGCCCGTCTCCGCATAAGCCTGCTAAGCCTGCGCGCAGTGAAACTCTTCAGCTACTGTGGCTATGCTCATATCTTTTGCCGTCGCACTATCACTCGGTCAGTCGGCCAGACGAACAGCTGGACAAAAAAAGACGGTAAAATGTATACCTGCCAAAAAAGATTGGTGATTTCACCGCGACTGCGAACAATTGCAAAGCTTGAGTCCGTTGATTTGTGATCCACTCGCGCCCTGGTCGCTGTACTCTTGTCGCAAATGTCTTGCTTGGTGTTGGCCGCGGGCTTCCGAAAAGTTCCAAGGAAAGCCTCCGTGCATCCTTTACATAAGCACAGCGGCGTGCTAAAGCCGTAACCGGACCCTAACCTCTAAAACCCAAGATTCAAGTCCCCGGTGGCCTTCCGTAAAGCAAAAGGAGTCTGCACAGAGCCGCCTGTACCCGATGCACCTTACACGATGCACCCCCTCACAGAATCACACAGGAAGGCCTGAACGGATACCGCCTGTCGGTCCATCTTGTTTGTCGCCATCGTGATATTGAGGCATCAATGTAGTTTCAATGTTTACGCCAAGCTGATTAAATTGTTGTGTTGAATTTCCTTTCCGCCATATGATTCAACCGGTGAGAGCGTGTTCTTGTTGCGCCAGTGGGCGCGGCCCGGGCGTTGTTGTTCGCTGTTTCCGGAAAGCCTCTCGCTTGGCTGCTTCTTCCGGGGGAGCCCACAGCCGAGTATGACCCAGGAGTCCTGGCAAAAAGCAAGTTGCCAACAGTCTGGCTACTGCCTGGCGTTTCTTCGATGCCGACAGCTTGGCAAGAGTCACGGGCACTCTTCTCCTGGCACGACCGGTGAGTCCACCCCGTATGAGGACCTCTCAACTCTGAGTGTTGCTCCGATCCAAGGTTTCTTGGCACAGACTCGGTTCTGCCTTTGACCACGGCAAACACGAGTGAGTAACAGGCAGGCCAAGTACCAGGCTGCACAGAAGAAACGCTTTCGTCCATGCACTAAGGTCTGTGCGAGGATGTGAAGCACTTGGAGTGGACGTCATGAGTGGCATGCTGTCCTCGGTTTTTGAGATGTCTCAATCAGGATCGAAACCCATCACGTGAGAACAAGATTGCCGCCAAGCCAAGGATTGGGACTGGAAGCGTTGGCTGCAGGCTGACTTTACAGGTAAACAGTCAAGAGGGCTCTTTGTAAGGTAAGTGTGACAACAGCTGCAAGGCAGCAAGTTCACTTTCAAACGCTGAAGTCACGAAACTCATACTGAGCAGTTGTTGGGTCGCTGTCTAACACAAAAATACGTCAAGGCAACCACAGCTGCTCTGCACTTGTCGTGGCACCTTGTGTCCTACTACATCGTTTGCAGCACGCTTTGTACAGTGTCGCCGTTGAAAGTTCGCAGTTATCGAGGCTTCTTCTTTAAAACGGCCGCGTAGTAGCCGTCACTGCCGCCCTTCTCGGGCAAGAAGCTATGCGTCACAACAGTAGCCAGCGGTAGTTGGGAAGCCGTACTTGTGGCCCACAGCACTTGGCAATCATTCTCCTCTACCAAAGCAGAACATGTGCCATAAACAAGCATGCCATCGTCCTTCAACAGGCCACAAGCTTGCCTCAAAAGCTGCCGCTGGGTCTCTAGGAGGCGTGCGAACTCTCGCCTGTCATCCTCCTGCTCGAAACATCTGTACTTGCATTCAGGATGGCGTCGCAAAGAGCCCGTATTGCTGCATGGAGCATCTACCAACACCCAGTCAGCTTTTCCGATCCACCAGTCAAGTTCCGCTGCATCCACGAAGTGGTAGCAGGGCCCGTTCTCCAAGCCCGAACGGTCCAAGCGACTCTTTGCACGCTGCAATGCACGGGGCCGAGGTTCATGCAGCACCAAATGGCCAGTGCGGCCAAGACGAGTGGCAATCGCCAGCGACTTGCCCCCCGCCCCACTGCACAGATCAACCACTGTGCCGGCAGGCTCACAATCCACCAGCCTAGCAATAAGCTGCGATGATTCGTCTTGTATTTCAGCCCGACTCCTCAAGTACAGGTCCAGCTGCTGCACAGGCACTGTACCATCACCTGAAACTCGGAGACAGTTGTCAATACGCTTGCACTGCTCGGTCGTGTACCCCAGACTTGCTAGTTCTGTCGACACTTGTTGATATTCGAGGTTTTCCAGGCCACACATCGCATTGAGGCGCAAGAACGACCAATACGGTATTTCGTTGGATGTTTCACAAAACTCTTGGCATTGGTCGTGCCCTAGCTGAGTCGAGAGTCGGCAGTGCAAGGAATCAGGAAACGAAAAGCGGATGGGTTCGGGCGGTTCTGGTAGCTCGGAGGATGCCCAAGGCAAGAGCTCAAAGGCCAAGAGGCGCTTCTCCCAGGCATGATATTCAGAGGACACATCTTTCGAGAAGTGCAGCTCGATGTGCCTCTGCCCAGCTCCAGCCGCATGCTGCAACAGTCGCTTGTGTCGAACAAGATTCTCCAGCGCTCCTGCCAGTTCCGTCTTTTCAAGAGCCGACAGGCGGACACCCGACACGTTCGACAGCACTTGGAACAAAAGGCGTTTGGGGTTTGCTCTCCATAGGTGACTGCCCCTACAGTCCCAACGCGTCATAGTTTCGATGAGCTGCCGACGCACAAAATCCTTCATGGCAATGTGCGGAACGATGCTTGATCCCACTTCTAAGGCTCCATTGAAGTTGGCTGGCATGCTCCGGACGTCATGAGCAGGGAACCAGCTAACCAACAACGAACATTCACGGCAAAACAGACGACCTAATAGATGTGGCGAAGTGATGGTGGCACAGGGTCACGCGGGGTGTAGGTAGAGTAGGAGCCGTGTGCATCGCCCCAAGGTGCACGTGCCCGAAGCAGTCAGGCTGCACCTTCACAACACGTTCTCATTACGTGCCGGGGCCATGGCAAACGGAGTTTGCCAGGTGCCTTGTTACAGACTCGTCACTCTCAGAAAATGAGGATGCTACCCAGTGGGACAACAAGACTTTTCGATACAGCCAGCCAAGCTCGAGACCACCGGAGATCTGTTGAGCGCGCTGTCCCACCGCTGGCGACCTTGCCACTCTTCTGGAGTTTGAGTGCAAACCTGCACAGTGCCTGCCAGAGCTCCTAGCTGCTCCACATCCTCCATGCTGAGAGGTGCGACAAAAGGTGCTCGGTCACCTCGTGTATACGTCGAGTATGACTGAGTCACAGCATGTACACATCCGATTAATCTGAGGCGAAACTGTGCTTCGACGGATCTGCATGAGTCTGAGAACCCGGCGCAGTGAGACCCGAGAAGTGGGGTGTTGCACGGCTGGCACAGAAGCCTGAGTGGAAGATTTGCTGCACGTTGGCGTGCTCTACGTACACAATCGTCCGTTCAGTCGTGGGCAGGTCCGACAGCTCTGCTGCATGTCGGAGCAGATGCTGGCACTTGCGTGTCAAAGAATGGCACCTCTGCCTGCAACACACGAGAGCGTCTGCTCCTCCACTACAAGCCAAGTGCACTTCAGACAACCTTAGTTTTTCGAGCCGTACAGCATTTATGCGCATGACCAGTCTGGGAAAGTCTGCTGATTTCATCAAACACCAGACAGACAGAAACGTGCAAAGGTGGTCGATGTCTCCAAGCTTTAACATCTGGGACAAGTCAGGATTTGAGCAATTTCGGGCCGGAATTTGCATCTAGCCGCTAAGTTTCGGATGGGTGCCTGTGAATATGGGCTTGCACTGTGCTGCACCACGGAGATGCAAGGGTCGCAACCCCTAAAATGCTCCAAACACCAGCTGACATCGGAGACACGCGTGCTGTCCGGCCTGATGGTCACGCTCCGTCATGCAAACTCAAACGACACTGCAGCATTCTCGACGTTTGCTTACCGGTTGTGCACATATTCTGCAATCCCACGCAGATCCTATGACCAATAGATGCAATAGGTGGGACCGTCTGTCCGTATCGCCAATATTGTGACCTGTCACGATGCGGGGCAAGCCCCGAAAATCCCAGCAGGGAACGAGGTGATCAGCCGCTGCGCTTAGCAGCCTTTGGCTAGCGTCATTCAATGAATGTATAATACGAGTTTGTGGTGGGACCAACAGCAGGGCCGACATCTGTCGCCAACTTTCAATGCTGACTGGGGGACAAAGTACCACCTGCGTACATTAAATACAGTGTGGCTATGTAGCGCTGATGAATACTAATAAATGATGCATGCGAAGTCTCGATTGTAGATTCGGGGCAAAGTGTGGCTGGTCGCACTACCTGCGCAGGTACCTTGTCATAAGGAGATGGCGCTGCCGTCTTCCGCATACTGACCTCAACGAGCACAACCAGCTGCCCACGGTCCAAACAACAACTCCGACATCCGGAATGCATGCAACGAAACCCAGGCGAGGACTCCCAGCGCAGGTGCCAACTGCCCTGCCTGCAGGTCAGGATCAGCTTCTCGAATGGGCACAGCTGAATGGGAGGCGGCCTGCGCAGGCATCTGCCCACATGCTGCCGCAACAGCTGCCGTGACCGCTGCCGCACCAGCCTTGGTAAAAGCGATGATACAATCACTTGCCTGGCAAACCGGCAGACGTGCAAACAACAAGAGGGTGTGGGCACCCTGAGTCTGCTATAAAGAGCTCGATGCTGATCCCCACGAAAGATCCCGACGGCAGCCACTGACATTCCCGGGCCCGAAGACATTTGCACGGCCCTTGGCACTTGCAAGTTGCTTCGTCCGAAGGCCGTAGCGGGAAGTGCAGCTGAGCTAATTGCTTTGTTTGCCGCAGATTAGACTTGGAGGGAACGACGGCCTGAGGCTCAAACATGTGATGGCTGTAGTAGGTTGGTCAAACTTCCACGAAACGACTTGAGGTCTCGGCACTAGGTGTCACTGGGCTGACAACATAACCTAAGGTCAGCCGGTGCACAGCAAGCCAAAGTGCGAATTGAACCATGGGAACGACATCTCAAGCTCAATGCCAAGATGCCATGACCTTGTAAACGAACCGAACAAATATCTCGCAATCTTGGATCCTGGCCGTTGCGCTGCTCCACGGCACAGGCTAAAGCAAATTTCGACGAAGAGTTATCGAAAAGTACCCGGAACATCCCGGAACCTGTTTCAGATCTTGAAGATCTGTCGCTTCCAGTATGGCAAAAGTGTCCGGCAACTACCGACACCACGTTCAAAACAAAAGAATCATGTTGTTCAAATTTCGATTCAACCTCGGAGGAAAGCGAAAGGAAAACATAGAACAACAAAGCAGCAGACAAAACAAGATAAAACAAGCTTACCACCCAGAAACATTGCAGCCGGTCGGCCACGCAGATGGACTGATGAGACTGATGAGTGACTGATGTGTTGCACAACGCTGTCATGCAGTTCTCAGACTGCAGGTGTGCGATGTGATATCTGCCGACACCTGTTGTCGGCACTTGGGAAGCTTCATCATTTTCCCCATGCCTCTGCCCTGTCCTCCCTACCGTCCGCCGTATGACGAGGAAACTCCAAAAAATACGTTCGGACACGCCGCCCGCCGCCCTCACCCACCCCCCTCCCAAACACACAAGTTTCCCGCCCCCACCCCTTACCACACGCCCCCTTCTCCTGACCTAACCGCTCTATTGGCTCGCTCGTACAGCCCCTACCACACGACGAATTTTCCTGTCCTCACTACCGTGCCAATTTATGTACTCACTAGTATGTGCGCGAGGGCTCCGTATCGATACTAGCTCCCCTAACGTGAGCATTGATATGATGTCAAGGAAGTCAACGAAGTTGATGTTGCACAGCTGAATCCTGTTTTGCACTCCGAAATCTCTATCCCTCGAAGTGCAAAGCTTCACAGGCGCTGACCTTTTTAAACTTTGCCTGCACGAGGTCTTTGAGAGTCCGTGCAATGGGGAAAGATTTCACGCTGTTCGACATAGCACCGAGTGGTTGAATGGCTTCGAACTATTCTAGCGAGATGGCTCATTTTTGAGCCAAAGGGTCAGGACAAACGTGCCGCTAGCCGCCATTGTTTGAAAAGTATTTATTGGTTTGCTGCAATCATGTGAGATTTTGCGTCAAGCTTCGTATCCAAATTAGACTGTTGTGACACTGAAGAAAGGCTACGCCCTTCAATGGTCCCCTGACTTACTCTCTGCAGGCTCAGTCTATTCGTGCAACCGGTGACAGCAAACAATGAAAAGCATATGCTCACATCTGAACATTGGAAGCATTGAGGTAGAAAACGTTCTGTCCACGAGCTCCAGACCGTCAGCCTTGATCCGCGGGTAATATACAAGCCGTGGGAAATAGCGGGAATTTCAAAGTCTGTCCACACCATGTGTTTGTCAGACACCTCTGCTATATTGCCCTAATACTCTGGCGCTCCATTTTATGCAAGAAGTGGTCTATAGAAAGGCCTCCAAACATGCACGGGGCGCCCCCGCGGCGTCTATAAAATGACCCCTAAGCTGGGCTTAGGGGTTTAAGGTTTCTGGGCTGCGGGCTTTTGGGATTAAGGGTGTAGGGGATCTAGGTTTAGGTTTTGAGGATAAACGGCTGCTGGGTTTAGGGCTTCTGGGTTGCGGGCTTCTGGGCTTAGGGGCTTTTGGGTTTTGGGTTTAGTGGTGTAGGCTTATTGAGGGCCAGAACCTGTGGGGCCATAGAATGACTCCCGGGACTCACCCGGAACAATCGAGATGACAATAGATGGTTCTACAATCGACGTCGACCTTCCAATCTTTCCGGCCGGTTTCTGGCTATAAAATGACTTCCCTGAATTTCCCTGGCATACCGTAGATTTCGGCAAGAAAACCATTTTGTAGAGAACAAGAGTTGGGCACTTCATAGGGTTATTCTCGAGGGGTATTTTGTCAGTAAGCATTGTCATAGTCCCACTTGTTTGTCCTTTTTCCTTTGCCGGATCGGTCGCGCTCATATGGTCGATCCTGGACGTACTTTGGACTCGGCTTTCGAAGGCGGTGATCCTGTGGGGTTCGGTACGCTGCCGGCGTCTGACACCGGCATGTCGGCAATGAAAACTTGCCCAGGCGCCAGATATGCAGAAGATGCGATGTGAAGCACTACATCGTTCGGCATGTGCTTCGGAATCCTACACGGTGAGGAGTGCACATCAGATGGGATGGGGACGCGATCCCGTCAATCCCGAGTACCACAATCCAGGTGAATTTGCTGCCACTTCGTAATCTCAGAACTCATCCCGAAGACGACGGAAACCAAGATACTCCTACTTCAAGGGCAAACAAGCCCAAGAATCAATGAGAGTACATCTTCATCGACCCGTCCGGCATCATCCAGCTATCGAGCAGAGGTCAATCAGCTCATTCCACTATGGTGGCAATGGTGGACTGGTGGACCATGGTATTCATTTGCATCCACGCTACCGCAGGAAGCTTGACGACATCCTCAAGAAACCATCTGACTTGCCCAGACTCTTCTCAAAGCGGACTCCTCGGATGGCCTGACTGAGGGTTCGTCCTCGTTCATAGGCGAGGATCTCGTCGTCGGTCACACCGCGACTGATACCTGTCATACCTGTCACCTTATCGAGTTCAGACAATACGCCCCATGTTTCGGAAATATCGAGAGAGTAATAATGCTGTCGACGTTGAAGTTGCTTGTGGTCACCAGGACTGCTTGGCCTGCCTCAGCGTTCTGGCCTTCGACATGGCCATGTTCCACATGCTCATCTTTTTCCAGATCATCCCCCACATCCATTTCCGCGTCAGGTTCTCCTTCGGTTGGAGCGTAGGTTTCTTCGCCCTCGGGCTCGGCGACGGCGGTAGCGTCCGAAACCTCCGCGAAGATGTCTGCAAATGTTTGATTGTTGGGATTCTCTGCTGCAGCTTCTGCTGCTTCCATAGCCGATTGCATATCAACATCCTCGAGGCCCTCGAGTCTCCCTCCGGGCATTGGCTGCTTCCTGGCGGAGAAGGAGGCGTCAAAGCACATGGTGCATCGTGCCAGACATGAAGGAGTGTTCACACGGCACACAGAGCATATCCGTTCTTTGAGTTGGCCTTCTTGTTCTTGTTCTCGTTTTCGATCACCTGCACGGTATTCTTGATGGCAAAGTTGATGGCGCCCTTGAGCTTGGTCTCGCACACAGGGCTGCTGACAGAAAGGTTGCGACGACGCTGGCACGGCGGAGGACGACCTCGTCTTCCAAGCCGTAATCCACGAGTTTCTCCTCGTACTTGAAGTTGCGGTAGTGGGTTTTCGTCAGGAACCAAGAGCCGCACTTCTTTGACCCCCTTGACGTCGATGCGAGTTCCCACCAAGAACATTCCGCTCTCACTGAGCTTGGCATTGTAGTGGTTCGCGACTGTTTCAGCTGGGATGAAAAAGACCACCAGCCGTTGTTCGCAGACTCCATAGACCCACATCGAGTGATCTCACTCCTCTGGTCGAATGGTGCGAACACCCCAAGGTGAGTACGTGATCCGAGTGTGTAACCAGGACATCAAGCCCTTGGAGTAACCCGTTCATCATGATCGACCAAACTTTGCGGCATGATGTTGAATGGTAGGCACCCCCCAGCTTCCGGATCAACGATAGGCTATGCGGCTAGGCCACAGGGCGATCCTTCGAGGGTCGATGCACGCGACTTGCTTTTCGAAGTCACGGTCACAGTTGATGCTCGGACTGCCCACGGCATGATCCAGCCCTCGCATATTCTGAAGTTGTTCATTGTCGCCTGCCTCGTGCGCATGTTGCATTCCAACTCTCACATCTGCGTATCTGCGTCATCTTGGACGTCACTTCATCCTGTCCTGGAGTGTTGGTTGACTCCGCTCCACTAGGCGAGTCATAGCACCGTATTCCGAAAAACTGCAATCGAATCTTGGGGCTGCCTCAGTTGGTTGCGATCAAGGAGTTCTTGCCAATCAACAGCTGAAGTCTTTCGCTGTTCATCTCAACCTTGTTATGTGCGCGAGCTGCCTGAGTAAAGTTGGCCCAAGGAGGTTCGCGACTCGGACGATCTCAAGGAGGAGGACCCATCCACCTTCGTCACAGGGCAATGTTCTCACACGGGTGCGATATCCTGGCAGCACGGGCACGCTGTTGTTGAGCTTTCGAATTCGATGTCGTAGGTCAGCTCGAACTCATCTCATCACCCCCTTGCACATAGCGAATCTCGCATCAGAAATGTGAGTTGTTGATGCTGTAGTGACACCTTGCCACTGGTCGCGTAGGAAATGAACCCTCTTGAGCAGGAGCATCCGAAAGATTGCCCCATGAACACCAGGACCAATATTTGACGGTTGTCTCCGCGATTGCAGCCACGACCGCACGCTGACTGGTGAGACGAATGCGGTAGATGTTGTAGCTTCTGCTTCTCTCTGCAAGATTGATGCAGCTTTGGTGAGTGCGATAGCTGACAAAAACCTCGGATGGTTGAAGGGCTCCGGATGCTTGCTGTTGTGAACTCCTGGTTGGACGTGACGGCGTACTTCCTTGAGAAGCTCTGTTGGATGCTGCATCTTCCATTTTGACATCTTGGCCCTCCGGTGGAGCGACCGTCAAAGCAGACGGGTAGCCGACGACGGCGTTGGACATGACGAGCAAAGCACGGCTGTAGCGCATCCTATGGACGACCTGCATTGCGAATACGTGCGCCTCGAACTTCGGCGCAAGATGCACGGCTTTACGTCCGTTCCATTGTCCATCGCATGCACTCCATTGGTCAAGTACGATAAGACTTGCGTCGAACTTCGGAAAATCCTCATAAGCGTCGTCTGAGGGATACTCTCATTTTGTGAGTCACTTCTTCTTCTTCAAGCTGTTGTATGCTGTTGTCCAGGTTGAAGAGCCTCGTTCGTTGCTGCACCACCGGTCTCACTCATCGACCTCCAGAATGGATCACCGATATCTGCTCATAGGTGCCGGGGTGAAGAAGTTGGGGTACGTGACCAACAAGGCCTCGACATACTCCTTGACGATGGCATTCTCCTTACGTTTTGTGTGTGATCGTGTTCTGCTGCTCGCAATGAGCTCGATCGACTCAGCTGCTGTATCTGTTGAAGGAGCGCTCAAGCCCTTTGACGCGAGCATTGATAGCATCAACGTTCGGTCAGTTTGGAAAACAGCCCAGCGTCAATCCAAAGACATCGCCGAGGAGTTCTTCGCATGGACCCTCAACATTGTTGAACATTTTCCGTCGCAGGACTGAAGATGCATCGCATGTAGCCGGCGCAGGCCGCATTCCCAGCATATATGCCTATAGAGCACAGGTTACCCTGTGCACCGTGTACTGTGCCCCAGGCCAGCGACTTGGCCTTACCTCAATTGGGATGAGAAATGATGGCCGCGGCGGAATCAACCCTGAGCCCTCCCCTCGCAGACACTGCCTTGTCAAAGTCCTCGTATACCAACGGGGCGCATTTCTTGAGGAACTCCCGAAGATCTGTAAGAGGCGAGAAGACCTGAAAGTTGTTCTCGTAGATTGCACATCCAAGGCTGTACTTCTCGGACTTCGGGAGCTGTGTGAAATTGAGGACACGGTCACTGTTGCTGCTTTGCTGCGACTTGTAAGCACATCCAATGCAAGTGTTGGCATACTGGCAGCAATCGCACATCACTTCTCGACGGAAACTTTCGCTCGACTTTTGCCTTTCACACGTACGGCAAAAGTAACTTCTGCCTTGCTTCACAGCGAGCTGCAGCCAAGAGCTCATGATAGAGCCGCATATACGCACAGAAGCCCGGCTGCAGATCAACATAGTCGAACTCCTCAATGAGCTTTTAACATTTCAAAAATCTGATCGGGGAGCTCCGGTATCACCGCCGCACTGCATGCAAATATGCCTGCTGCGGCACTAATCCCCGAACCTGCAACCAAGAGAGCAGTTGTACCAGAGACAGCGGCGAGTGCCTATATGCTGTATACGTGTCCACTCCTTCAGAACTCGCAGATCGCGATTTGGCTCCTCAGTGACTGTCAGTGAGCTTGACCGGAGGAGCGGGCTTCGTTGGCTTCTCCTGCTCCTTGTCGCGCTCCTCGCGAGCTTTCTTGAGCAAGCTCGCGCAGAGCTCTGTTCTTGCGAGCGCGAGCTTCACTCTTCAGCGGCGTCGGCAGCAGCGGCGGTGACCTCGAGCGAGATCGGCCTGCCGACTTTTCGAGCTCTGCGGTACACCGAGCGTCGTTCCAGGTCCAGAGCTGCTTGTGGTGAGCGAGGAGAGTACAGCAAGACCACGATTCTCATGTCTCCATTGCTCGAGCTCTGAGAGGTACTTCAGCGGACCTGCGTTGCGCGTGAACTCGCAAAATAATGTTGAGGTACTCCAGGGCTACCAAATGAGCATGGAGGCAATCCGTCACATCCGATTCGGAGTCGATCGCCATTTGTTGTCAAAATGGACGACATTGAGCAGGTCGTCGGAGGTCTTAGGGAACCCCGATGCTTGCACAACGCGATCTGCACGGGTGCGCATCTCGTCCACCTCATAGTAGGCGACCGCTCCGTGAACCCTACAATCACGGTGGATACGTTCCACGAACTGTCGGTGCGGCTCGCGCATGTAGGTGAGAATGATGTCCGGATGATGGTTCACGAAGATCTCCCGGAACTCAGCGTGATCTTCGCCTGGGATTTCAGGAATTTTGGAAAGATCTTCTTCCATCTTCACTCGCCTGGAAGAGACATGGTCTTGGAGCACAGAGGCAGACTTCCAAGCCGCGGTGAGCAAGGTCAGAGACAACTCCTGAGCAGGAGGATCCGCACAGAACTTGGTGTCGTCTCCCACGATCGCCTTGAGGGTCGCTTTGACGGAGGTGATAATTGATAGTCTGATAGTATCACCGAGCATGGCCGTCCGTTCGACCGTTCGCCGACATCCGTTCGACCGTTCGAGCGATAGCATGCCCTAATCTGCCATGACAGCCAGAGATCCTCAGGCAACTTCTGGCGCCCAAAGATCTGGCGCAGAGCAAGCTCATGAACCTTGTCCGCATCGGGTGTATGCGATCGACCATGTTGGCGGCACAGCACAAACGATCGCTAAGTTTAAGTACTGCTAAGTCAAAGTGATTTGAGTCAGTTGCAAAACGAGCAGCGCAATTGCACAAACAGAACATTTAGACCTTGAAAGGAAGAGCCACACCGGGGCGAGCATGAGCACATAACTTAGGATCCGGAAGGACCGAGCCGATATGCGAGAACTCTGGGGTGATCGCTCGTTTACAGGCGATCTCCTCAACTGAGTCTGCAAAGCCAACATGGAACTTCTAATCATAGCTAGAGCCTTTGGCTGGGACCTGCACAAAGACCTCTGTCAATGCGACTCTTCGATCTTCAGCATCCTCGATCTCATCATCTGCTTGGCACAGTCTGGCACGAAGTAGAGAGATCTCCTGGGCGAGATCTTTGATCATTTCAGCACGAGTGGCCCAGGATTCTTCCAATTCGCCTGGATTCCGATCTCCTGCTCTGTGCGATCGAACTGCACCGCCTGATCAAGCATTGTCACCCGAGCAGAAGGCTATGTCAAAGCTGTGACCTTGTCGAGGAACTCCTTCGCGACCCCGTCCTCTTTCCCCGCAACCTAGACCAGATGGTGGAGCCACTGCGGTGACCGAGCATAGCCTGGCGGGGTGTCTCGCCATTGTTCCTTGGTCTCGAGCTCAGGCACCAAGAAATCTCGCTCGATGAGCGGGGACTGCATGTCGAAGAGGTCGGTGCCCACCTTAAAAGCCACGGAGCTTTTGAGAAAGCTGCATAGAGCATTTACTTGGTCCCGTGTCGAACGGACCGAGGCGACCGCCTCGATCCCAAATGGCCACAGAGTCAGAAGTGATCACAAGTAGAAAGAGCATGCTGAACTCATGCAGGGATGTGACCCTGCTATTCCAGATCCCCACGCAAGCGTTGCGTGCCTGCTTCCTCCCATAACCGGCTTGATCTAATTTTTCCTGGAATGCGCGGCGCTTAGTTGGAAAACTCTGCAGAACAGTTGCCACTTCATGGACCCATAAGCTGGCTGTGTACCGTCTTGAAGGAAGATCATGACATGAAGGACCACTTCCGAAACCGCTTTTGGAATCCAACAATACAACAGCTCCGGAGCAAACTCAGTCAACCAATTAGCAAAGACTTCGAACGCTTTTGCGGCAGCTGGATGCCCTGCGTCGGTGAGAACCCGACAGAAAAGGAATGATCTCAGATTTACAGGGACTAAAAAGAAGAACGGTTATCCTTCCTAACTAATCCCTTAAGCATCTCAGGCGGCGTTTGTTGGACATGCCGATCATGACACTGAACTTGGACAACCGCAAGAAAAGTGATAGCGCAAACCTGCCCGACAGTCCTGCAACAGCTCGGACAGCTTGGAGTGACCGAGTGCTGTCTCGCTCAGTTCGATGTGAAAACGCCTGAAAACGCTGAGCTTGCCCACAGTCGCTCACGGCTCGACTGATTCCGCAGGCTCCCAGTTATGTTCAGGCTTGGCAAGGTGCGAGCGGAAGAGGCGCTTCACGTTGGAAAGGGGTATCGTGGCTGTACCAGGACCTGACTGGACGAATGTGGAAGATTATTCTCCGAAGATGTACGAAAGTCAAGACTAATAAAAAGGGCAAAGCAATGCTTAGCGCCACGCTCAGGCTTCCAAGGATTTCCTTCAGACCGCGCTTCACCACTTCCCAATCTTCGCGACAGGATGTTATCAGGACTCTTCACATCTCAGCCGGATTACAGCGAAAGGCTCAGGTAGCAGCCAGCCAGGTCAGATCCGTTACCACGCGCAATGTTGGTGCATGGCTTTTGACGCTCAGCACCTTACTGCTGGCCGTCATCTGTGGTACACCCTTGACTCTGCCCGGAGCAGATCAACCCTTACAATGCTCTGCGGGTGTGCGGCATCGCTCCTTGATCATGGACCTTACTTAGAGTTCTGAACTCTGCAATTCTGCTGCCGCGCAACGGATGCAAAGCGCTGGAAAAAAGCGCGCAGACTTTCGACGCGAGGTAACGAAAACGCACAACCTGAGACGGGCTCTGGGAGCGCCCGTAGGGCACCACGGCACCATTCAAGTAGCCGAGCAGCTTCCTGGTTAGAGCACTGGTCACGCCGATATGATCGGACATGACAGGGACTTGCTACAGCATACAGACCCTGGAGTGCAGGAACCCTCACAGGCGAAAGCATCTGAGAAGTAGAGCTGAGTTGAGCTAAGGCTCTTCTGCGAAATTGCCAGCTGCACGATGTGGCAAACCTCGATAAATCGGCTTCGAAAGAACTGCAAACAGGACACACCCGCTGCTCGGTATTTGGCATACACTGCGAACTACCCTGTGGCAGTCGCACGTCCCTCCATCGTGCATGCAAGAAACCTGCCCTAGAGTCCTTCCTTGGAGAAACTGTAGCCCACGCGAGACCAGCGCCTGCACCAGGTAACACTTGCGGTGTTGCAAGAGACCGATGGCCTGATGGCCACCGCATCTAGACGAGGACCATACAAAATCGCATGTGAAATCGGACACAGATGTACAAAAATGCATTGATTATCGTCGATAATCAATGCAATTTCAACAAACCTGCTGGCCTGTGCGCAGGAGTAGCGACCACCCGGCCTGCGCAACAGCATGCTGCGGAGCTCACGACAAAGGTCCATGACTTCAATATCTTGCGACTGTAAGGCATTTTTCCACAGCAACCCCGATCTGAGCGCCGTGCAGCACCATGTTGGCATCATCCAAGCCTCGCTTGGAGCGAACACACCGAATCCTTTCTGCGTCTTGGCCGGTTGTGCACTCAGAAACTCCTTTGACACGCAGCCTCCTTGAAAACAGGTCTACTTTCTACATTCACGGGTCAAGCACCGACCGTCTTAGGATTCCTATTAAGTGTTTGCTAGGCAACTCCAGTACAAATGAACAAGATAGACCGTGAGTCGGTTTCAATCTGTCGCCGGGCTTTACATGTGAACATGATTCAACTTCGGTACATGGGAAGATGTCTGACGGTTCGGATATCCACTGCAGCCAAAACGAGTGTATCGATGTTTGTGACTTCGCACGAGCTGGCCAGCCCTAGGGTCTAAAAAGCCGAAAGTAGGGCAGCAAAACCAAGATGAAAGAAGCCGGGGAGTGGAATGTAAAAAGAAAAGAAACAAAATATCCGCAAGCACACCTCCGCAGAGTACGACCCAGGGTGCTGCCTTCAAAGTAGCTAGCTGCTGCCTGCCAGAGGGAAGTTGGATAAAAGTCCTGCGCACAAATGCTTGCCAGACTAGCGAGTGTTGCAGCCGCTCGTGAAAGAGTTGGAGCTAGCATTACAGAACACAATCGGCGCCGTCTGCGGCATGCCATCAGTCTTCCGTCCTGTGGGCTGTAGACGTCGATGAAGTTCTTAGCAGGATGTCGTTGCTTGAGGGACCGTCTGTGAATCGCTAGATGCCGAGTGCTGAGCGGGTGGACGACCTCGCAGCAAGGCAGACCAGTCTCCACCATCTTCTGCCTCGTCTTGTGTATTTTTTGGACCGGACTCTGAGAACGAATTTGCTCCCTGCTCCGCTGCCTGGACATAGATCCAAGGACAGGCCTCCCGACACCAGACAAACATCTGGCCCTCTTCTTGTTCAGAGCTTACACGGAAGCCCGAATGATGTGTGGTCGTGCAAGCGAAGTATAATGCATGGCACACCATGCACACCTCGCAAACACTGCGTAAGCGCTTGATGTCTACGTCCACGTTGCCCTGACCGGCCTCGGACAAAAAACGGTACGCGGCAACAAATGGGATTTCGATAAAAACTTAGAACAATCCATGGAGGCATCGGACCGCAGAAGCACGTTCTGCAAGTCGTTTGCGCAGGATCCTTTGGCACTGCGACTTGACGCTGCTCTTGTTTGGAAAAAGCTGCCACGCTAAGACGTCCTCCCGTATGGCTTCAGCTCATCCTCGTCCAGCATGCGATGATCGTGCGGAATTGATCAATGAAGTGTCGTAACCGAGGCTTGGACTACGTACAGTGTCTCAACCTTCGCGAACCCCACAAATGCTATTCGAGCGCCTGCGGCTACTGCAGCAGCTAGCACCCAGCAAAGAAAGGCCCTCGCAGCTGCCATCACTTCCTGCATGTCGAGCACCTCAGAAACCGGTTTGCGTCTTGCGGCTCCTGCAGCCAGTCAGTCGAAGCGATGCTCCGATGGAGTCTGTCTGATAATCTTGGTTGCTGGCATTCCCTTGTCCCAACGAAGTGTTCGACCTGCCGTCCAATCTCACGCCATTACCCGTAGAACCAAAAAGAGCCAGCAACGCTTAAGCATGGGAGTGCAGTTGAAATGGCAATACATTTTCTCGCGGCCGCAGGTCACCATGCACTCGCCCATAGATTTCCAACTACCACACCACTGGCTTTGAGCACTTTGGGTTTCCACGGCTGCAATCACACTGGACAGCTGCAAGATGCGTGCCTGGGATGCTTCAGCTTTCTACACGCTTATATTATGTGCTGTTGTTGTGTCAAGATCTCTCTATGCGACACCTGCCACGGAATTGATTTCTCCTTGCCAGGCTGCCGTCGGATTGAGCTGAGTGCCAAAAGAGAAGCAGTTGCCACCACCCCCAAGAATCAGCCTTGCTGCAAAGGTGCAAACGGGCCTCTGCTCTCACCAGCACGGATGCCGCTCACGTCTGTCTGCCGGTCGGCATTTCGGGTCTCAACTACGCTGCTACATGTGGGTCTGGAGTGCCGCATGAGGACAATCCACCTTCCATTGCTTGCCCTCGGCCGCACTCTCGCTATCCTCTTAGCGGTTCGGCCCGGGGGGCTTGCTATGTGACACAGATGCAGTTTCGGACTGGCACGTTTCTGATTCTTCAATGGGAAACGACACAAACTGACAGAAACAACCAAAGGCGAGCGGAGATGCAGTGCACACCGACACTTCAACAGCCAGGAAAGCACAAGCACATTACCGATTCGCGAAACAGTAATTTCCCGAACCCAATTCGGAAGACACTGCAAAGCTGCACAGACGCATGCCTCCTGCTGGGTCAAATGGGTCAAAACCGTGCTACATTTAAGTGCTGCCCAGAAGGCACTTGGGCAGTGCTGTGCAGCATTACCTCGGTTTCAGCCGACAAAGACCTCTTCTCACCCTGCCAACTACAGGAAGTTGGTCGCGGTAGGCTTCGAACCGTAGCGATGTTGTGCCACATGAAGAAGTCGTCCTGCAAAATGCAGATCCGGACCAGGATAGGTCAGCAATGCCCAAGTCAGGACCAGGATAGGTCAGCAACGCGATTCCAAGGAATGTTTTCATGATTAGTCCTGTTATCGACAACACGACGGATCGGTCGAGGTAAGTCTCACATGGTTCCAGGCAAGCTATGCACATTGGGTTCCTGACTCTACTAGTACCACCCTCGTTCCTGTTGTGTGTTGGCAGGCGGCATGCAGTACTCAGCTCAGTCGGGTAGCAGCTCTGACGTTCGCGAGGCGCAAGACAGTCCTCTTTGTCTTCTTCATCATGGTGGACATTCATCGGCACCCCATTGCAACATATTGGTGCTGTCTCACAGGTCCATTCCTCATCCAGCCATCGTGACGCCGCTGCATGCATGCAAGGCCTCACAGCAGCCAAGATACAATTCCACCGACGACGATGTGAAAGCCTCTGAACACGTGCAAGTGATGTCCGTACCTTGGACACACTTATAATCACCTGTAGGAAGGCGGGTAGAAGCGGTGAGACGATGACGATAGATGAAGACACGGAAACTGGCGAGGCACACGTTGCTCCCCAGCGATGATAACAAAACCCATGAACCAATAAATGGTAACCCGGAATCCTCATGTTGGCAGAAGTTGCTTACTCGGGCAACGCAAATTCAACTCCAGAAATCCCTTCTGCACCTGACACACCGTGCCTGCAAGCATTGCAAGCATCCAGCCGAAGCAGAAAATGTAAGCCAAAACTTCATGATCCCTGCCAACGGTGGACCTCGGCCTCGGCAATGGGGAGGTACTCCTTCTCCATGCGAAAGAGTCTCGGTCGTCATCTCTTTGCAGGATCCATGCATCGCCCAAGAGCTCCTCGCTGGCGTCCAAGCCGCCACAGATCATAAGGAGGCCTTGAGACGCGATTGCTGCTGCAGCATGTGAATGCCGCGCGCAGGGGAGGGAACCATCTGTTGCAAAGATAGGGCAACACTTCCACGACAGCTCATCGCAATCCAGCAGCCATCCCTCGTCCAAGCTGAAGGTCTTTGCATCTGTCCCACGACCGCCCAACACAACGAGCACGTCCCTGGAGCCAATGCGTACGTGCGTTGCTGAATGCCGCCATCGAGCTGCAGGACCTGCAACTATATCCACAGCTTCGAGTCGTAAGTTACAACCAGCACGCTCATTGCGCTCGCTCGTTTCCAAGACGGCAAGAGAATTGGTTGGCTGATGAGGCCCCAAACGGCCGCCAAACAAAAGCACCTTGGAGCCCACTGCCGTTGCGCTACAATACATAGCAGCCTTGTGATCTCCAACATGCTGAAATGGCTGCGATACCTTCCCTTGTGGCGCAGCGCTGCCTGTCGGATCCAGCTTGCGGCAAAGTACAGAAGTCTGCCTGCCATGTGTTTCTGACACAGAGGAATCGTATGTGCCATGACCGCCGCACACAACCAAATGACCAGCAGCATACGATGCCGTCAAACCAAATCTGGAAATGCCCAGCTCGTGCAGCTTGTGAACAGGGACTTCCAGTGCGGGACGGCTCGGGCTCTTGCCAGCATTGGGCCAAATTGTCCGTGCATTGCAGCACCTTCCCGACATCGCTGCCAGGCAAAAATAATGCGTGCACTTCAGATGAAACTCCTCGTATTCATCAAATGGTTCGAGGCCTGAGACTCTGGCCAGTTCTTCGGAAGGTGTAGCGGACAGTATAGATGTCATGTCCGCTGCATCCACACGGGGGAAGGAGCAGAAACGTGCACGCTGTGCTGCAATATCGGGCCGTGCAAGGAGAGATCTAAGGGGACACTGGCGCTGCAAGAAGTGCCTTCGCATGAATCGACCAAAGGGATCGTAGGGTCCGATCTGCTCATACATACCGAATAAACAGTTGGAAAACCTGCCCGCGGCCCACGCCGCAAGCGCATCGCCTTCACCGGGCTCCATGTAGGCCAGCACGACTTCGGCAATAATCAACGTGGGTACTTCGAAATCCGTGCCTGGATTATTCAGAACGGCAGGGAATCAAACGACAGCGGCACGTCTTCATAGTATAAGACAAGTATCATACAGCAGATTACAGCATCATGCAACTGCCTCATACGAGTACGAGGCGCCCGCAGCTTTCAAAGAGGTCTCCACGTCAGCCAGATCGCGCCTCATCCGCAGGTTTTATGTCCCATGCGTCGAGGCTGCAGATGGAGGCGTCTAGAGTCTAGACTCTGATGTTGTTCTGATTTATTTTGACTTCGATGCCCAGCAACTAGGCCTGGCTTCAAAGGATTTCGGGCGCATGCTCAGTTTCCGCTGCCACTAGAACAATCTCCACCCACCCCTCTGTTGCAGGGTTGCCAGCAACTTCGAACCGCAGCCCATGTCACAAGGTGGGTAGTCAAGATTCAGCAAGTGTTCTGCCCCAACATGCCCCAATTGTTGTATCTCTGCAGAAACTTATTGTGTGTCGGTAAACTTCGATACACTGACCGGGGAACCGTACTTCCGTCATATGAGAACCCCACAAGGCCCACAAGCTGTTTCATTGCCCCAGTATGCCCCAGTTCCAGGAAGGCTGCCCCTCACTTAGCCTTTCACTTCAGCGCTGCTTGCCAGTAGCTTCCTACACCGTGGCACCGAGGCTCACTCCGTGAGGTTCACCACGCTGCAACAGTGTGCAACTGCTTGCCATGCCGACGGCGTGAAGATTACAAACGATTTCAGACACTACAAGAACAGAACAATGTCCGAGTTGCAAGTCAGCACCGCATCTGTGAAGCCAGGCCGGCAGTTCTACGTTTGCTCGGCGCAGCAAAGCTTCCTTTCGCGTCAGCACCTCAAAAGGGGCATGGCTACACGATTCTGTATATGCCAAACCCCGCGAAGTGGCGATGCAAACAAACCGACCCCACTTAACCTGACGAAAAGGTTGCTACAATAGCCGCCAAAGCGTATTTGCGGCAAGGACACGGCGGGAAATTCCACTTCATAGTACCCCCGCAAGCCAGGTGGCCATGAACGCCTCAGCGCTCCAGTATCAAATCCTGCACCGACCACGACCACGTTGTAGGCCTCGCCTGGCCTCAGTTTTGAAAACGTAACCTGCGCCTTGGAAGTGGCTTGTCAAACACTCACCCATGTTTCGTTGCTTCATTTTACAGCCGAGAAGTAAGAGATTTTTTGGCCTGCAGAAGTTGGAAAACAACGTAGAAGCCTGTTGCCATTTGTTTACTATTTATGTATTTATCGTTCGTGTTTTGCTTTATTCTCGTTTTTGGACGCCCAGGGGAGGCCCCGGCCGGGCAGGCATGCCAGAGGAAAAACAACGCACTTTTGTTGGACTGTGACAATCGTGAGCCGCTCCCGCAGCAACCACCATTACTAGTGCACGCACACAGCATCATTGTTTCCAACTGTTGGTCATAGGGTTGTGCTGCTTGCTACGCCGAAATCCGTCCGGTGGAACTGAAACGGGCAAAGACACCCCACCTGACCCTGGCTAACAAACGCCCTATTCATCCAACTTGATGTGGCGCGGTTGCTTGCTTGGTGTACATCAAGAGCTGCTGCTCTCTGATGATTGATGACTCTGAGCTCGAGGAGGATGAAGAAGATGAGCCGGACGTACCAGATGGAGCTCTTCTTACATCCGGGATGCAATGTTTGGTTTGCTGGCACCCGCTTGAATTGGGCTTCGCCTGAAGCGAAAGGCCATAGGCAACACGCGCGCCAACATTTTAAGTTGAGTGCGTTATGTGAACTGTGATAGGAGAACCAACGAGAGGTGCGCCTGCTAGCAGCCACCACCCGCCTATGCGGCTGCACGACGCAAAAGCGTCTGCCACGCTGGGGCGGGGCTGCCCGGTAGCTTGACCGCTTCGATGAAGCGGAGGAAGAAGCCGGCGATCTGCTTTTCCTCCGCGGCTGGCTTGACATTGCGAAATTACGAGCGCGTGGCTCCCAGCTTCAGCCACACGCGCCCATTCTTCCAGGCAGGCGATAGGACATCCTCACGATTTGACACTGCACGTCCACAGATCTCAAGCAACTGCCATCCTTGTCGAATGTCTGACAACGTGGCAACGGACTCGACAACTCTGCAAGCTGCTCCCGATCTAAACATGCTGGAACAGCAGCATGGGCATGGGTTTTGCGGCCCCCAGCAGACAGGGGCAGATCCATACCAGAAGCACTACAATGGCAAAGCCAATCAGACCAGCCCACACACCAGCATGCGGAACCACACGGACATCCAGGGCCTCAGCCATCGCACACCGCCTGTAAGCCAAAGCAAGCGGCCGACAAGTGACTCAAGATCGCTTCGGGCTACCGCATCGCCCCTACGAATACGTGCGGCAGAGAAGCCCTTGGCACACGACGCAGGCCCAGCTGCCAAACACACCCAGGACAATGGCACACCAAGGCCCACCGCCAGCATGACTTGCGAGCGGGCCATCAGAGGTGCATCGCGCGCAGGAAACAAAGACAACCTTGTCATCGACAAAGAGGACCTGGACCCGAGATGGGAGTGGTATAGTAGGCGATGGCTCAGCCTCACGAAACCCGCCGCCACCCTGCTCCGCCAATAACCTGCCCAGCTGCAGCCAACGTGGCAGGTGTTGTAGACGACTCACTTCCTCTTCCCACTGGCATCCACCAGTCCACCACCGCGAATATCGAAAATCCTCTCTCCATTGGCGCGACCTTGAAGCGTTTATATGTGCAGTCTGCACATCCAATAGGACCCAATAGGAAAGCAACCCAGTCTTCCTCCTGATGCCTGGAGAGGAACTGCATCACATCCTCTAAAAGGACGGCAACCCCATCTTCTCGGACACGTGGCATAGAATTACGTTGGCATGGGAGACAGGGCTGTCTCCAATCAGTCGGGCTCTGCACACAACGCCTAGACTCACGGCCTGCTGCGCAATGCTCGCCAAACATATTCCTGGCCTCTTTTCTAGTCCGCCACGCAGCCAGGTCGCAAAACCAGCTTGCACATCAGCTTCAACCAACTGACATACTGTTTCGGGATCATCGAGCGCAGAACCCCAAGGCAGGTCGAACACACGGTCTCTCGGCAACCTCAACTTTTCGCCAGACACCTGAAGGGGGTGTGGTCTGCAGAACGCCTGTCGGTACTCCCCGGCGCAGCAAGGTTGGGAGCACAACATCAACGTCGGTGGTGAGCTTGAAAAGAGCTTCCCACAAGTGAAGGGCCAGAGGTTGGCCATCAAAATCTACGCAGCCCAAGAATCTCCTCTTCAACAGCCAAGGAGTTTTGGATTTGCTGTCGGTCGCATCGCGTAGCCGCTGCACCAGTCCCACTTTGTAACCCGCTGCAACCACTGCCGCCGCAAGGCCCCCAACAGGTCAGGCAACCGTGGTGAGAACCAATCTGCATCGGAGCCCACACCGCCACCATTATGAGGTTGGCCAGAGGCACAATGCTCTTCCTCGCCGTCAATAGACGGTGGGCCTGCTGTCATTTCAAGCGCTTGGCACACTGCTTCTCCACCAGGAGGTTTGGGAGCAAGTCTCGATCTACCGTCACGTGGTTGGGTGCGTCATTCAGGGCGTGGCCCTGAAAACACAGCGCGGAGACCTCCTCCATGGATGGCGATGCAATCGGCTGCTTCTGCTTCCTGCACTGTCGGATTTCTGAAGCCATCTGATGTGCGCTTGCAACAGAGCGCGAGTAACTTCTGGATATACACGTTCCAGTGTCCTAAATGCCCTGCCCTGCACATAACGTACGCGTGAGCCCTTGTCTCAAGCAAGCTTTGCACCTGTATTGCTGAAGCACCCAGCTCCAAGTCCCATTTTTCGTGGAAAACACCCGCGATACTTTCCAGCGCATGCACGAGGTCATGCTGACCCCCTGCAGGCGCCTGCGCTCTGCGGCTCTTCATTTCTAGAACCGCATCCTCCGAGAGCACACGCATCCATGGCATCCACTCCCAGTTCGAGTTTTCAACTTGGCTATGAATGGCTTGCAGCAAAAACTGATAGAAGGTAGTGCGGCTGGTGTAATCACAGCGGATGAGTACGCAGCCTCGCATGTCCCACAGGTCAGACCCTGCACCGGCTTCAATACAAGCTCGGCGCTAACGAACGCGT